AAACAAGAAGCCTTGGAGCTGGAGCCCCTTGGAAAGGGGCCTGAGGCCCAGGCAGGAAGTGACCATCCACAAAACCGGCCAGCCCCCTCCGCAAGCATCCCCTTCCAGGGAGGAGAGATGCCCCRGTGTCCTGGAAGACCCTCTGGCCACAAGTGTGGCGGACACATGCCCCCGCCAGCCCCCCACAGACCCGCAGCCTGGGCGGCTCCAGGGCACCTGTCTCCGGGGACAGCTGCAGCCGCGCCCTCGAGTGGGAGCSGTGCAGAGTGGCCGGCCACGGGGGCTCCGCCTGCTCCCCCCACTAGGGGTGCGGGCTGCGGGCAGGACCACCCCCTCTCCCCAGCGGTCCGTGCCCCCCAAACACAGTCAAGCCACTTTCCTGGGACACAGCAGGGCTCTCCCCACCTGGCCTGGCCCCTGGGAAGGAAGGGGACATGAGCCGGGCTCTGCTCTGAGCGCTCCCACCCGCGCAGTACCACGCAGTCCCGGGGGCAGAGACGGTGCCCTGCAGGGTGTCCTTGCCGCTGAGGGAGCTACAGGTTTTTTCCCCTGGCTGCTCTGGGGCTGGGGACGCGGCCTTCCGGGCCACCGGGGGCGCCCAGGCTGCAGGTCCCGGTCGCCCAGCGTCGCACACCACTCTCCGGTTACCACCAGGCTGGGTTTCAGGGACCGAGACTTGGCTATTTCGGTCTGGCCAGTGGCGCCGGCGGGGATGAGGCCGCAGGGCCCGCCGCCCGCCGCCCGCCGCCCGCTCACCTGCCACTGGCGACGGCTTGCGCAGTACGAGCCACCTACTCTTCCACTGCGGGGACAAGGACAGCGTGAGCGGCCGCCCATGCGCGCCCCGCCCCGCGCCCCCTGCCGCGCCCCGACCTTCTTGCCGTCCCGCAGCTTGACCTGGCCCTCCACCAGCGCCGCCTCGGTCATCTTCTGTCATGGTTCCGCCGCCCGCCGCGCCCTCTCCCCGCGCCTTGGGCGCTGGAGCCCAGGGTCACTTTCAAAATAGCTCGGGAGGGCCTGGGCTGGGCCAGGAGGGCGGGCCTCGGCGCCGCGGGCGGGGCAGCCAGGGACCTGGGGCGGCGGTGTCGCCGGCCCCTGCTGCCAGGTGGAAGGAGCCTGTGGCGGTGGCCTGTGCGGCTCCCCACCCCKCTGGCCTCTGCCCATGGTTCCTGCCCACCGGCAGTGTGGCCACCTGCAGTCACTCRAGGCAGCCCCAGGCAAGACAGTGTGGGGACTTCCCTTCCAAACACAGAGCGGGCATCGCACTCGGGAAGCAGGCTCCCAAGTCCGTCTACAGCCACTCTGGTGTCACCACTGTGCCTCCCCTCCCCAGCCCAGGGCATCACCAGACACTCCTKAGGACAGAATGACCACTGGCCCTGCGGCCCAGGACACTCCCCCACCCCTGGGCCTCCCCCGTGCCCAGAGAACCCTGCCCAGACAGAACCTGTTCCATTCATGCTCTCTGCACAGCAAGCCCAGGGGCTAGGTGCGTGGTGGTTGGGGTGCAGGGGCTCTCTGGTTACCTGTCCCTCCATCCACTCTAGTCCCATGTGACTCAAGCTTCAGGCAGTGTGTACCTGGTGCAGGTGACTGCCAGGTGGTGGGCGGGACCAGGACCCACCCTGCCACTTCAGTGCCCCCAGCCTCTGTGTCTGCTCTCCCCTAGTCCCTGTCCAAGAACTGGACCCACCAAAGGCTGCCCCTCGCCCACCCCCAGCACAGAAGGACATAGAGAAGCACACTGCTCCGTAAAGACCCTTCCTGCCGCCCCCCCCCCCCCCCCCCCCCCCCCCCCCCCCCCGGCCACCTGGCCTCTCTGCTCCCGGGTTTCCTGTCCCCCAGGCCAGCAGCTCTAGAGGGCTGGCCAGGTTCTGCTAGAGCCCATGTGCTTTGGGGACCTGGCAGGTTGGTGCCAGGGGACTCCGCATCTGTGAGCCAGCCCCAAGGCCAAGGACTCCAGGACACCAGGTGTCAGGGAGAGGCCGGGTCCATATGCAGGCCGAGGCCGGTCCTCGAGAGGCAGTGGTCCTGGTAGGAAGGAGGGTGACAGTGGCCTGCCAAGGGCATGTGAGTCTTGGTGTCGCCCGTCCAGACCCCGCAGGCTGGGAAACGGGCTCACGGCCAGGACTGACCCACTTCTGTCCCYCCAGAGCTGGGCTCAGCCCTGGGTGACCCTCCTTGTCACCCCTGGGGATCCGAGAGAGCAGGTCTCAGGTGAGCCTAGGGCTGGTTCTGATGCCACCCAGGGGTCTTGCTGGGGCCTAATGCAGGGAGAGGGTCTCAGACCCAGGAAGCACCCTGTACCCCCATCACCTGTGTACCCCGGTCACCAGCACCCCAGGGAGCGGTTGCTGACCACAGAGTTCCATTCATCCTCTCTGCACAGCAGGCCCAGGGGCTAGCCCAGGACAGCCCTAGCCCTGCAGGGCCAGCTGCCGGATGGGGGCTGTAGCCATGGACACATCCGCTGCCGGGCGCCTGGCACTTGCTCTTCCCTGCAGGGAGGGGCGGCGGCTGCTGCATTCCCAAGTGCTGGCCCTGGCCCAGGCCCCAGCCACGCCTGGCAGCTGCACCTGCTGTGCCCTGGCCCCGGAAATGCAGGCACCGTGGGGACAGAGCCCCCTCCCCCACTCCGTGTGGCCCAGAGGACAGTGCTGTGGTGCCAGGGCTCTGCCAAGCAGGGAAGCAACCTGCTAGGAGGAGGAAGAGGGCTGGCCCCTTTCCCTGGGGGCCAAGGTCTCCGCGACCCTGACTTGGCTCCTGCCCAGCTGGCCCGGCTGTCGGAGCGAGGCATCGTGCCCGTGGTGGAGCCCTCCTGCCCTAGAAGCTGGCTGGCAGGTGTCGGGCCTCTGGAACCGCAGAGGGCAAGCCGGAGAGATGTCGCCTCAGGAAGGGGACAGCAAAAACGCAGGTCACACCCTGAGACAGGATGACCGCCCAGCCCTGCACACTGCACAGAGGCTCATGGCGGCRATCACCCTGCTTCCTGAGCCCACAGCCACGGCGCCACTGCCAGGCGCTACAGATGAGGACATTGCCACAGAGACCACGGCTGCAGGGYGCTGCGGCCCTCCATTGGCTCTGCAGCTGTGGAACTCCCCGGACCCTGGACCTCCAGCCTCACCTGGCCACGGYTCCCTCCCCTGGGCTGACGTGGCCACCATGAGCCCAGGGACAGCGCATATTGAGAGTCTTCCAGAGTCACCATGGTTTCACACACAGGAGGAGGATCGGGAGGACCAGGCCAGGCTGCTGTGCGGGCATCTCCAGCTGACCAGGGCAGGCACTGTGCCCCTGTCTACCCACTTGCTTGCCCTTCCTTGGGCAGGGCCATGTGAACAGCTCTGGCCAGTGGAGAGTGGGCAGAAATGATGACCACCACTTCCACACCTGGCCGTGAGACACCCCCTGCCATTGTCCACTCTCCCCTGGTCACCTGGTGAGATGAAGAATGACCAGTGGCTCCCCACCAGAAAAACTAAACCCCATCTGTCAGTGCTCTGGCCTCAGCCTGAGTGCAAGGGAGCCKTAGGCCTGAGTGGACTCCGGCCCACAGCCTGGCACCTGCTGGGACAACAAGGACCCCTGAGCCCCTCCCTCCTGTACCTGCTGGACGGCTGCAGAAGGACACAGCAGGGAGCAGCCTGCGGCAGCTTGCTACACCCACACTCACCAGCACCCCAGTGGCCTCCAGCCCCCGACAAACCCCTGCTCTTTTCTGCTATGACAACCACTACGGCTGGGTGGACGGTCCTCTGAAGGCCTGCTTCCCAGCCTGGGCACTGCTGGGTGTGGTGCACCTTTTTAATTTAGTATTTTATGGGTGCATATTGATTAKGCAGAGCAACGTGTGGGCGTCACTGTGGTCATTCGCACACATGGAGCACAACCCACCCAGGTTCGCTGCCCATCCCCTGCCCGGGCCTGGCTTCTGCTCCAGGAGCCCCCCTTTGCCCTCCAGCTCCACACGGCCCTGGGACCTTTAGGTGCAGGTCTCAGGGTCACTGGGACGCAGCCCCTGCCTCCCCTTTTGTGTCCCAGCCAGGAGGCAAGTGGCTCTCCCACACTGGCACCACCACAGGCCCCAGGCCAACAGACCCCATCAGCGTCCACTGGAAACCCAGCCCCGAGCTGTGTTCCCAAGCGTCAGAGCCACAGCCAGCCAGCCTGGCGGGCCGCGGCCCCCGTGGGGTCCATGTGTAGAGCCAGCCTCAGAACTCGGGCGGCCGTGTTTGGGGAGGTAGGAGGGGAGGTAAGGCCGTGAGCACAGGCCGCGTAGCCTTAGTGCTTCATAAGGAGAGGAAGAMGAGACCCTGCAGCAGTTGCCCGTCKCGCTGGGGGAGGCCCTGCCTCACCAGCTGCTGAGCTGCTGCCAGGACATTGAGCTAAATAGACCTCTCTTATTCAAAAATTACTGGGTCTCGGGAATCAGTGATAGCGACAGAAAACAGCCTMAGACAACATRAACRACYTTACGGTRATACATGTGAAAAATGAGACAGAKTCATARAAATATGACTYCCTTTAACTAGCTCAAGAAGAGATGGAACCCCAGCCGTCACTGCTTCCATAGGGCCATGGCCCAGAACTCCTTCCAGCTCTGAATGAGTAGCTTCCGACATCCTGTAAAGAGAACGCCAGGCAGGAAACTGCATGGTGCCTTCCATGTCCAGAGGACCCTCAGCCTCACACAGGATCGCCGAGGATTTGATTAAGAAAGGGACACTCTCAGTCTTATTACATGAGCCTGGTGACAGTAACTCCAAGAACGTAAGAGTGTAGGTCACTCTCACTCCTAAACGCAAATGCAAACCCCCAGCTTAACACAGGCAGATTTAAGAATTGAGAAAAAACGATGCCTCCTGTGTCCTCCAGGGCCCCGGTGGGCTGGCGCCTGGAGGGACTGTCAAAGAGGCTTTTCAACAAAGGCATGGTCAGGTGGGCCACAGGGACAGCTTAGTGACCTTGGGCAGTCATGAAGAGAAGCAGGCACCTCCGCCCGACCTGAAGCCTGGCCGTACCAGGACACTGGGGGAGGCCACTAGTCTGGAGAACAGCAGTGTCCTTCAGTGAGGGACACGGCCAGACTGGGCACTCGTCTGCTGGGGCTGCTGCAGTGACRTGTGGGTGGAGGGTTCCCAGATCTAGAGGCTGGGCTCCGGGTGTCCAGGCTCATGGCATATGCAGCCCCGGGTCTGGGCCTGCACAGGGCCACTCCTTCCTACACCCTCCCAGGATTCCTCCAAGTGTCTGTGTCCCCATGCCCTCTCCTTAGGAGGTCACCAGTGGGACTGGATGAGGACCCACCCTGGTGACCTCATTTGTGTAAAGACCACCTCCAAACATCGGCCCTGTCAGCGGCCTTGGGACCAGATGATGGCACATGATCCCAGGGCCCAGTCCAGCCCCAGCACCGAGGGCACAGGAAACACCCCCTCTGACCTCCTGCTGGCTCCCAGGGCCCCCGGACACAGAGACTATAGCCCCTGGCACTGGTGCTGGTCAGTCCCAAGACCCAGTCGCAGGGAGGCATCAAGTGGATGCTGATCGGGTCCCTGGCGTTGGGCCTGTGGTGGCATCAGTGTGGGAGAGCCACTCACCACTGGGAAGTCACCTGCCTCAGCCCACGTGGCTTGACTGGAGGACAGCGGTCACATCAGGAGAGCACCCACTGTGCACTCTGGGAGCACCATGCTCACCCTCATCACTCTGCCTGCCGCCAGGACTGTGGCCAACCTGTGGTGGCGGGGTCACCCGCAGCCCATGTTCATCAGCCCAGGAGGCCCAGGCCCCAAGACTGGCCCGGCTGCYGCCCTCCCAGGGCCAGCGCTCTCCCTCGCTCAGACTCTGACTTCCTAGGGCAGTGAACGTCCAGCCCACTGAGGCCTCAGCAGAGGGCTGACCAGTCTTGCTCCTGCCTCACTCCCTCTGTAGCTAGCTGTGGCCCTGTGAGCCCTCCGGGCAGGTAGCAGCCCAGTGCGGAGCCCCCTGAGGACCCCGCCCGGTGGCCTGAGTGAGGGGTGCAGTCTGACCAGCACAGCGGGGGACGGCCGCCGGGCGGCAGCACAGAAGGGGCAGGTGTGCAGACCCCACAGGTGTAGGCCGGGCACCGTGGTGGCCAGGAGAGAGGCCCTGCCTGTCACAGGAGGCTGGCAAGGGCAAGGAAGGGTTAGGGAGGGAGGCCACCAGCGGGCACTGGGAGAAACTGCCCGTGGCAAGCCTGGTCCAGGCAGTGCCCTGAGCACAGCCATCTGCTGCCCTTCCCAAGGCCACAGGTAGGGGGCAGGAAACTGGCCTTCCCCTGGCTTCTGGCTCCATTCCCAGGGGTCTGTTGGCCTCAGCCTGGCCTTGGCCCACGTGGACCCCACCCTGACTTGCTCCACGGAACCTCACGCACAGGGGGGGTTAACACCAAGGACTTTGGGAACCCGGGTGGACCCAGCTCCCCACAGCCCCTGGGGCCTCCCCTCATCCAGCACCCTCTCTGGCTTCCGGCCCACCTCCTCCTTCCATTCAGATGAGCCTCGGTGTCCTGCCTGGCTGGAGTCAGGGCCGGCTCCTRTGAACTCTGTCCCGGCAGCAAGCCCTGCCCACGGTCCCTTTCTCCCCTCTCCCTCCCAGCCAGGCTGCCATCTTGAAGCTGAAAGGCGTYCAGCAGCTGTGCCCTGTCTGCCTGGGGGTTTAGCATTTCCCCACTGCTTGGCTCAGGCCCCTGTCCACAGCCTGAGGCCTGGACTTGCTTCCCATGTGCTGCCCTGCGACCACCCAGGGTGCCTGGACCTGACCACATAGCTGTCTGCAGCTGGCCCTGCGGTGGGTGTGGCCTGGATGCTGCCCGGGCCCTAATCCCCTGCCTGAGTTGCTGGGCCACGGGGCCAGGCCCTCCTGGGGGCTGCAGGCTCCCATCTCTACTGAGGACTCTGCTGGCTGCTGGCCCAGGTCACCCCATCTGCAGCCACTGGCCCAAGCTGTGGCCCAAGAGGCCCGGGGAGGCAGGAGTCACAGAGGAGGTGCCAGGAGAGGTCTTTATTGTCAGCGAGGCAGGCAGTGGGAAAGGACGGMTGTCCTGAGCTTCAGGAGGGCGCCGCAGGCCGCTTGGAAGGCCGTATCCGGTCACTGATCCAATCCACATAGTTGGCCACGCGGGTGTACACGCCTGGCTTGCCGCGCCCACAGCCATCGCCCCAGCTGATGATGCCATACAGGTAGGCCACCCCGTTCTTCTCACAGGCCAGGGGCCCACCCGAGTCACCCTGGGCAGAGACGTGGCTGGGAGCTGGCTCAGGGACACGGAGCAGCAGCTCCACACCCCCACCCAAAGGCCCCCAGGGTGCGAATCCAGGAAGTGTCTTCTGCTGGTGACAGAACTGCCCCAGAAGGCTGCTGGCAGCATGGGGACAGAGAGCAAGGGCATTTCTGAGGAAGAGACCTCACATACAGGTCACCTCATTCCCAGGCCCCTGGAGGGCCAGCTCTGCCAGTCCAGGGGAGTCCCCTCGCCACTGCCTCCTGCAGCCTGCCGGCTGCCCCWCACCTCCAGCAGCAGCACACTCTCAACCTGGCCGCCCTCTCCTGCCCAGAAGCACTCCCCAAGTGGGCACCTGCCTCTCCCACCACCCGAAATGCTCCCTGCTGCCCTCAAGGCCTGTGCGGTTCTCAGGACAAGGGCACCCACCCCACACACCAGGAAGCCCTCCCTGACACTCGGCACCATGTGTCCCGGCCCAGCYCCACCCCTCTCCACACTAAGCCCTGCAGACTCAGAAGAGATCTGGCCTGGGCTGCTTCCCCACCTAGGACCTGGCCTGCGGAGCAGTCCTCCCAAGATGGCCCTGTTGAGCATGAACGGGATCAGGCCGCGGAGGGGACAGACCTTAGCTACTGGTTAATGGCCTGAGCAATGAGCACGTCTGAGAGACATCTGGGCAAAGGGCCATGGGTGGCCTTGGGCAACTGACATCCTGTGGCGCCCCTAGCCACTGGGCGAACCTGAGCTTTACTGGTGTGGCCTGAGGCCTCTTGTCCTATGTTTGAGGACAGGGCTCTGAAGACAGCTGCCCTCTCTAGAGGGGCCAGGCAGCCAGCCATCCTGGGGTGCTGGCCACCAGCCCAGTGGGTGTAAGTTCTGTCCCGGACCCCTCCAGCTCGGAGCTCCAAGGGGCAAGCAGGTCGACCAACCCCTTGTGTCCAGTCCCACTGGGCAGCACGGCTCACCTGGCAAGCGTCAGCCTTGCAGTCGAAGTAGCCCGCGCAGAGCATGTTGGGGCTGATGTCGGCACCATGGACCTCGGGGCTGTGGCACTTGTGGTCAGGGACCAGGGGTACCAGTGCCTCCCGTAGAGAGCTGGAGTAGCTGCTCGCATCTACAGGGCACGGCACTTTCAGCGTGGGCCAGCTCACTATGGCTGGCCGCTGCTCCCCCGGGCTGGCTCGGGGCAGTCCCCCACTCACTCTCGTGCACATGGCCCCAGCCTGCGATCTGGCACTTTTGTCCAGAGGGGAAGGAGACACCAGGCTCGGGCAGGCAGATGGGCTGGACAAACTGGGAGCGGACAGCACAGCGCTCGCCCTTCTTCTTCAGCCGGATCAGGACTGAGCAGGAGAGAGGTCAGAGGTCAGCCTAGGAGGGGTCCAGGATGGACYGAGTCACAGGCCAGGCTCCCTCCGGCCATGGAGGCCACAACAGGCACCCTGGCTGCCCTGCCCAGACCCCTCCTCCTCTAGCCCCCAGTGTCTGCCCGGCCAATGGCCCCTGCCCTGTCCTTGCTCTGGCTTGGGTGCACAGAGAACACCCACCCTGCTGCGCCACGGAGCTCACCAAGGTCATGGTCACTGGGGTTGAACACCGAGTACAGGGAGTAGGGGATGTACTTCTCGATGCCAAACGTCTGGGTCACGTCTGTGGTGCGATTGAAGAAGTGCTGGCCCAGCACCACCGAGACGCTCTCCCTGGGGGGACTGTGTGGGGTCGGAGGTCCTGGTGGCACACAGACCTGGACCTCTCCTCAGGCCACTTGGTCAGCACCCCCACCTGGAACTGGGCCCCGCTGGCCATGGCTGCTCAGCCATGGCTGAGGGGCGGCCCACAGCCCCAGGGAGAGGCCTGCAGTGGCCCTYGCTAGTCCACTGGACAGTGAGTTGGAGAGAGGAGTGATGGGGTCGCAGCCACCCCAGGCCTGGGCCCAGGAGCCACAGTGTGCTGTGCTATCTCCAACGGCCCAGTGACACCCGCGGGCACCCAGGCCGATGTGCTGAGACTGCCCAGGTCGGTGGAGACCTGTCCTACTGAAGGCCCTGTCCCAGCTGGACCTGGCCTGTGGGGTCCCAGATACGCCCCTCGCCACTGGAGGACACAGAGCCCAGGCCCCGAGTCAGCCCCCGACTGTCTGGGCCTCAGTTTTCCTCTTCAGGACAGGACCTGCACAGTCCCCCTGGACACTGTTGGCAGGGGCACAAGGTGAGAAGGGGCCTGTCTGCTCCCTCCTGCCTCCAGGCTGGGYGGTGGGACCCGGGCTTTCCTTCCCCGGTTGGTCAGCTTCCCTGGGTGGAAGGCAGGAGGGCTGCTGGGAGCCCAGCRTGGGCCAGAGCTTCTCCTGTCCGGCGGGATTCCCGGAGGCTCCAAAGAGTCTTGTCACTGCCCTGTCCCTACCAGCTGGGCACCCCTCAAGCTCCTTGGCGATAGGAGGAGGCAGTCGTTCCCTCCCTCCTCCCAACCCTGCCTGGAGCTGGGCTTGGGGGTCTACCCGGAGGCCCCGGACGTACTGTTGGTGCCTCTGCAGGAGCCCTCCACCCTGTCCCAGGGCCTCCCAAATAACGCCGGCGTCTCTGGAGCCTCAGCGCTCAGCACGAGGCCAAGCGCCAAGTCCCAGTGAGGCGGCAGGGACAGGTGGAAAGGCCCACGGAGGCCCAGGATGGGTGGCGTGGTGATGGCAGTAGGAGTGTGCAGGGTAGGGCCGGAATGGGATGGAGGCCAGCGTGGCGGTCCTGTGGCGGGCAGTGGGTGCAGGAGCAGCGAATGGCGGAGTGGGATGTGGGTGGGGGATGTGGATGTGGGCCAGGGCCACTCACCTACTGGAGAAGCAGTGGGCAGCAGACACAACCCAGCAGGTGTGGATGAGGCTCCCAGCACAGAAGCTGCCCCCTATGTAGATGGCAGCCAGCCAGGGGTGGGAGCCAGGCAGGGAGGAGGAGCCGCCCACTATCCGTGGCCGCAGGAATGTCCTCTTCTTGTGCCTCTTGCCACAGGTTGGGCGTCCAGCYGGGGCTGGCTCTGGCAGGGTCACCAGGACCTCAGGGGGTGGGGGCTGGACTCTGACCAAGGATTCTGGAGCAGAGGTCACCAGGTCACCTCCACAGSGTTCCCCAGGGCAGGCAGGGCCTCCTCAGCCCACCCCTGCTCTGGGCAGGCCCCCTCTGAGCCTCAGTCTCCTCCCCTAGGGTGGGAGGAGAACACCGCCCACAGGATCTGCCACAGAGTGGCCAGCACCCTTGGGTGCTCCTGTCTCCCCTGCAGCCTGGGACACCACCACCGACCCCAGGAGAGCCAGAGACCCCARAGGGCAGTCCTGGGGCATGGGGCCACTGGGAGCCGCCCCCAGGGTCAACCTGTCCCTGACCTCCTGTCTCAGGGCCTCAGGCAGCACCACCCCACTGTGCCCTGCACCCTCGCACCACAGGAGGCCAGGCGGCAATACTCCCAGGAGAGCGCGTTGTCCTTCACCACGTAGCACCACGGCCTCTCATCCTTGTCCGGGTTCCTGCAGCGGACAGGAGTCACACTGCCACTCAGAGAGGGCTGGGATAGGGGAACCCTTGGGAACCCAGGCCCGGGGCTCCTCACACCCAGAGCAGCGGTGCTCGCTCCACAGACCCCAGCCTCCTGAGGGCAGGCTTCTGGGCAGAGGCCATCAGGCCATCTGGGCAGTGCTGGTCCCAGCTGGGTCCTGGGAGCCACCCACCCACTCAGAGCAAGGTGCCTGTGTTGGCCACCGGGTGCTGACCGGCAGTAGGCGTGGGGGCCCAGGCCTAGCAGGGCGGCAGCGYCCACCGAGTCCACGTGCAGCTCCTGGTACAGCAAGTCGGAGTTCCAGGCCAGGCAGCCCAGGCCCGAGGCCGCCGTGCTGGCCACGCCACGGTACTCAGTGCCATTCCCCAGGAAGCAGCGCTCTGTGGGCACTGAGAGCACAGCAGGTGTGGATGAGGCTCCCACACAGGACAGGTGTGAAGCCACCCACAGTGGGGCCTCCCTGACCCCACCCCCAGGCTTGCTCCCAGGGCAGGGGGCCAGACCCACTCACCAATGTTGCAGAGCCTCCCAGCATAGCCTGGCGGGCAGGCGCAGACGCTGGTCCCAGTGCCCAGGATCAGGTGGCAGGTACCCCCGTTCAGGCATGGGCTGCTCAGGCAAGCTGCAGAAGGGCCCAGAAGCTAGGCCCAGCCTCGAGCTCCTGCCGGGGCCAGGGCCCGGGTCCTTCCTGTGCCCTTGCTGCTGGGTGGCCTCGGGCAAGTCCCTTCTGCTTGGGTGGGGAAGGAAGGCCTGTCGGGGGACATGGCTGACCCTCACCGTGGGGCCCAGGCCGGCCCGGAGCTGGCCACGGTGTACCTGTGTGGTGGGCATCTTTGCACCGGGCCTGGCCGTCCACGCAGTCACACTGCTCCACGTGGCCCTGGTGCACTCGGGCCCAGCGGTCACCCACCTCCAGGTACTCGTAGCGGGTCTCGTCGAAGCACTTCCCTGGGGGCCACACAGTGAGCCCCTACTCCCTGCACCACAGCCCAGGCAGGACCCCACCTGGGGCCCCCCAACCACTCTCCACCCTCCCTGGTTGGCTCCAGGCCCATGGCCCCCCTGGCCCCCTGACCCCCATGGCCCCCATGACCCCTATGGCCCCCATGGCCCCCTGGCCCCTGGCCCCCGGGCCCCCAGRGCCTACTCACCGATGTTGCAGTTCTTGCCAGTGAAGGCCAGGGGGCAGGTGCAATGATAGGACACGGGGTCTTGGGTGCTGGAGCACGTGCCCCCATTGAGGCAAGGCCCGGAGGCACAGGGGTCAAGGGCAGCTGTGGTCAAGCAGGAGAGGTGGTGATGAGGGCACGAGTCCTCGGGGTCCCTCTGACTCCGCTGCTTGCCAAGGGCCTCCGTGGGCCTCCACTTCCAGCTGCACCCTCTGGGTCCTGAGGGTGCAGGTCCCCAGGGGGGGACACAGGCYTCCCTTTTCTCCCCAGCCCTCTACCTGGCACCTGGGCAAGGTGCCCCATGGCTCTGCACGTGGCATCCTAGAAGCTGGCACCAACACTTCAGGCAGCGCGGTCCCCTGCCATGTCCCCAGAGATTCACGAGCCCCAGACCTCCAGCCTCATGCCCTGGGCCACCTGGCCCCACCCTGCGACTGTCCAGGGCTTTTCTGTGGCCAGAGGCTGGCCTTTGCCACGAGAGGGCACCCCAGCCACAGAGAGGGCGAAGCCCTACCTGAAAAGGTGCCCACACTGGACCCAGGGCGGCTGGCTCCTTGGCTGGCAGCCATCTCCAGGGTCAAATTGCAGCCCTGCCCAGCTAGGCAGGACCCCTGCCCAGCTCAGCTGTCTCCCTTGGTCCTACCCCCGCTCAGCACTGGGACCCTGGCACCCCCAGCTCACACACCCCMCCTCAGCCCCTCTTAGCTGGGGTCAGGCTGTCGCACCCCACACCCTGCACCCACCTGGGTCCTCCAGAGGCAGGACAACCTCCACACAGTAGCCCCAGGCCCTGTCCCGGTCATAGTTGTGAGTGGTCGCACACCTGGGAAGCAATGCTGGGGGTCAGTGGGTCCAGGCCACAGGCCCACCCCTCCTGGCCCTGCCTGGAGCTCCAGCCACTCTTCTCCAGCGTGCCAGACCCCGGGGGGCCTCAGCCCCCGCCCCACCTGGGACCCACCACTTCCTGCGGGCACTTCCCTCCAGGGTGCAGGAGTGTAGCATCCGGCCTCCGTAGCGGAAGGGGAACCTGCAGGGCTGCCCGGCCTCGGTGAGCACTGCAGGGGTGGCAGGCCAGGGCTCCAGTCCTTGCCGCAGGGCTCCCCACCCCAGCCCACCCATGTCCACAACCACCAGGTGCCGTGGGAAGCTTCCTCTCCCGACCCACCTTGGCTTCCTGGGCCACTGCGGGAGGGAGCCACCCTGGTTGGGGACTGGCGCTCCCCACCTTGGGGTCCCTCTGCCTCCACCTCTGCCTCTGGAGCACTTGTTGCTGGGGTCTTGGGGGTCACAGAGGTCACAGGGATCATGGGGCCCCCAARGGGGGCTGTGGCATTAGGTTCTGGGGGTTCTGTGCCATCCTAGGAGGAACCAGAAACCAGGAGGGTGTAGGGGGAATCCCAGTCCTGAGACGGCTTTGTGCTGGGAAGTGAAGTGGAGCAGGGTCTGGGGCCCCGGGACACTGAAGTCTCTTCTGGGCCTGTGCCCTCCCCATCCTGGACTCAAGCTACAGCCCAGCCCAGGTATACCACCTCTCAGGGATGAACCCTGGTCAGTTCTAGGGAGGACAGGAGCAGCCGGAGCCCCTCAGAGGCCCCTYGGTCCCCACCTCAAACACTGGGACCTACCGAGGCTGGGGGAGGGGCGGAGACCCACTGGGGCCCAGGCCAGGCCACACAGGGACCCCCAGCTCCAGGAACAGCACAGCAAGCTCAGGGACCCAGTGCCCCAGGCTATTCCAGCTCCACCTCAGCCCTGAAGGCCGACTCTCACCCCCCAGTCACCTGGGCCCCAGCCCATTCCCCCTGCCCGGGGCGCCGTCCCTCTGGCTGAAGCCCAGGAGCCTGCAGTGTGTGCGCACAGGGAGCCCTTGGCCACACTGCCTGGGAGCAGCAGCGCTCACCCCTCTGGCCTGGGGCTGGGTCCCCCGAGGCAGCAGCAGCAGCAGCAGCAGGAAGGCACACAGCCCAGGCTGGGGGCAGGGGCTGGGGACCCAGGCCCAGCGCCCCATGGCTCCTCCTGAGTTGGCGAGAGGGGCAGCGGGAGGCGGGAGCGAATCGGTCAGCCCAGGTGGGGTCAAGGCCATGTGGGAATGATTAACCCTGGCKACCTTCCATGAGCCGGCACTGGAGAGGGAGCTCTGTCCCCACCTCCACCCTGCCACCAACTCCCCTGCCTTTGCCTAGGGGCTGGCTGCCCCACCAGCCTCAGCCTGTACTGGTCCTGGGCCCTACACTTAAGGTCCCTTCAAGAAGCATTCCCCAGACAGGCAGGTGGCGCTGTGGGACTCCCTGGCCAGCGCTGGGCCAAAACTGCGGGGGGCTGGCCTCTCCTGTTGGTGAACTCTTCATGAGCTTTGAGGGTCCAGGGCCGTGGCCAGCCACACAGCCCAAGGGACCTGCACCCTCTCCCCACACCACAAAAGAGTTACGGAGGGTGGGCCATACACCCTGCTGAGTATTGCAAACAGTGACCCCAGAACAGGTCTCTCCTGCCCCCTCCTGGACAGGGTGGGCACTTCCTCCAGCCCCTGGGCTGCTTGCATGGCTGTCTCTGGGSGTCTCTGGGCCCAGCACAGCTCTTCAGGCCTGGGCCAGGCACCAGGGGTCCCGGGACAAGGCGGAGGGGCCCTGCCCCACAAGCGCGTGACTAAGGGCTGCGGGCAGAGCTGCCTCTGGAACCTCTTCTGCAATTTCTGAGCAGCCAGCAAGGTGCCTGCAGTTCCCCACAGGTCAGAGGTTCCGCTGGCAAAAGGGTGGCAGGAAGGCAGACTCCCCCTTGGGCCTGGGGTTGGCCTGGCGCTGAAGTTGTCTCGTGGTCCACCCCAAGCCCCACGCTCTCCGAGCCTCCATTTTCCCATCTGTGCAGAAGGAAGAATGAACACTGGTGATACCCAGCCTGGCACAGTGGATGGGGGACAGCAAGTGCCAGGCTCTCACCTTCTATTCTGACGCCTCTCCTGGACCCCTGCCCAGAGTGCTGTCCACTGGGAGCCACTCCCTGGAAACAYCCAGAACCACTCAAGAGGCCTTGCTGGGAGCTCTCAGGCGCCGGTACGATCGCCCAGCTCTGGCATGGTGTGTAGGATGGGCCTTGGGGCTCCCACTGAGTGACCTGGGTCCAGGGCACTGCGCCTCTCGGATTTGCTGACTCCTCCCTGTGGCTGGCCCTCCCTCCTCCCTGGGCTCCTGCCACACAGGGTCTCGATTCCAACCAGACTCACTGCAGCCTTGGCCTCCCCACTTGCCTGGCACTGTCCAGCCTCCTCTGCAGGCAGGCGTCAGCTCAGCTGGCTCCCCACAGCCCTCTCTGGGCACCCTCCAAGTGCAGCTAAGGGCAGGAGACTGGCCTGCAGCTACAGGGTCCCTGCTGTGCCATGGTGGGGGCAGTGCCAAGAAAGGGACCTCAGTGGTCAGCTGAGCACAGCTCCCACAAGAGCCCTGGCTCCACCAGCGGTCACCCTAAAGAGGGGAGGGAGGGACAGACACGAAAGACCCTGGGTCAGGCCGTGGGGCACGCAGAGGGCAGGGAACTTGATGTGGCAAGGCTGCCCCTCAGTGTCACAGGCTCCTCCTGGAGCCCTAGTGACCTCTGTTCTCTGCACATCAGAGGGCAGGAGGGCCTTCTGCTCCTCACTGCCAGGCACCGTCTTCTGGGGCCCTCTGTCACCTCCTAGATATCTCCTGCGTATGCTTCTGGAGTCCCACAGGAACGAGGGCTCCCCAAGCTCAGCACCTCTGTCCCCAGCACTCAGTATGAAGCCGACACGTGGCAGGTCTTCAAAATGCTTTATTGGGAAGAGTCTGAGGCAGAGGGCAGCACCGGGCTGGTGGGAGGTGTCTGAGGCCAGGCCCTGAGAAGAGGTGGTCCCGCCTTCTCCCCATTTGGCTCCTGAGGGTGTAGTGGCTGAGGGGCACAYGCTCCAGGTGCCCCTGAGAGGTCCTGGGCCAGGTGGTGTCCACGTGTGTGGAGGTCAGGGCAGGGTAGCTTGCACGGGACCAGGGGCAGCTTCAGACATAGGTGGCCCGGTGTGTGCTAGCTGGGGGCTTGGCCGGCTCACCTGGGATGGGGCTCAGGCCAGGGCGTCCTGACATCAGGGGCCCACCAACCCTCGCCCCCAGCACGTCACCGCCTAGCCTGGCTGCCACACCAGTGACGAGGTCCACATCGATGGTCCTGTTGACCGGGAGGCCTCGGCTGCCACGGGCCCTGCCTCCTGTCACAGGGAGGAGAGAGGCTGTCACCTGCCTGGACCGGCCCTAGGCTTTCAGGTCTTGCCCGATGGCCCTGCACAGACACAGATCCCCCCAGAGCCACCCCAGGGGCAGGGGACCTCCAATCATGGGCCTCTGGGCCAGGGGCAGGAGCTAACTATCCCCAGTGCCAGGTTGGTCTGCAGGTGCCACCTGCCGGCACTCTGTCCCCAGCCACGACACCCACAGGTCCTGCTGACAGTGAGGTTGGTGCCCTTGCAGACAGCACTGTGTGGAGCAGCCAGCCAAGAAGCCATGACCGTGAGGCTGGTCTGGAGTGAGGCCCCAGTGCTGCTGGGACCCTGGGCAGTCCTTGCCATGGCCTCCCGTCTGTCACAGGACTTTTCAACACCTGTACCCCACCCTCGTCTGTGCCAGGCCACGTGGGGCCCTTTCCTGCAGTCTGCACCCCTGCACCCTGCCCATGTTGCTGGGTGGCCATGGTTTGCTCTGCCTTGGGCACCTTCCATGGCGCCACCTCATTCTTGCCACACTGCCTGCTACCCGGGCTGTAAGTGGGGAGAGGTGAAAACACTAGTGTGGGCTGCTGTGGCAGAAAGGGCTCCGGGATGACACAGAGGTGGCCGTGCCCTGGGTCTAATCAACCTCTTGCAGCAGAGTGGGAAAGTTGTGTCCACGAGAAGCCCCCCAACTGCCTTGCCTGCCCGATCACACCCCCCAGACTTACACCCGCCAGCCTCCCTCACCCCTCTGCAGCTCAGGACAGGGCCAAGCCACCTACTGAGGTCCCTGTCACCTTGCCTCAGCTGTCTACTCCCACCTGGGGCCTGTCCTTAGGGCTTGCTCTCAGGGTGGGGAGGCCAGGACCATCTCCACCCATGGGCCTTACAGCGCAGGGCAGGAACTCTCGAGGCAGCTCACAGGCCATCTGGGTGTCGACTGGCCTGGCTGCCTTGGGCCAGCTGCACTGCCACAGACGCCTCTGGTCCTGAGTGGCCTCGACCATTCCCAGTGCCTCCAGCCGCCTACCCGTCCCCCGACCCTGCCCTGTGCCACATGATCATTCCTTCCGTGCTGAGGCCCCTCTTTCAGGCTGCTCAGCAAAGTGGGTCCCAGTCTGGCTCCTACCCCAACCCCCGCAGGCCCTGGCTGCCCAACACTGCCCCTGAAGCTCCTAGCCCCTGAGGCAGGCAGGCCCACTTCCTGCCAGCCACCTCACCCTGGGGCTACTCTTTGGCATCTGGCTGTCCCTCAAGGATGGAGATRTGATCATTCCAGGGTGGGTCCCCAGGCAAGTGGACACGGTGTTCATGGAGTGTGACCCTAGAAGGTGGGCAGGGGGGCGCTGCATGGGGTGGGGCCCAGGAAGTCCCAGCCACCCTCTCCTCATCTAAGKGGGGAGGCTCCTGCCCACAGGTGAGCCCTTGGGAGCCCTCCCCAGTTCCAGGGTCTGTACTGGCAGGTTGCTCCACACCCCTGCACCCCACCTCACCCTCAGCCCCAAGCTTTCTGAAGAAACTTCCACATGGCCTCGCTGAGCAAGTCCTGGCCTGTGGGCAGAGGGCGTGGTGTCCCTCTGAAGGTGCCCAACCAGTCCTCTCAGACAAGTGGAGGCAGCAGAAGAGCCTTGTCCTGGCCTCCACACGTGCCAGCACCAGCTGCTCCCAAGGGAGGCATGGCAGAGACCAGAAGCTTCTCCCAGCCAGCCCCATAAACACTCCATTAGGGCCAGCTGGGATCCAGCCTTGCCCCACCTGTCCCCTGCTTGCTCCCAGGAGCCCATGGATCTAAATGCCAGGTTATAGGATCAGGATGGGCATGGTATTTGCCTAGAGCACTGCTGGGCTCTGAGAGAGCCTGGTCCCCACACAAAGCAGGAGGCCAGCTCCCCCCTTCATGCCCACCTGGAAGACAGGCCCTCCACCCCAGGGCAGTCCTTGTGCTAGGATGGGAGGACACCTTTCGGCAAGGACAGGAGCTTCTGCAGGACGGAGAAGTGCGCACAAGGAGGGGCAGCCATAGCTTGCCCACCTAAGCAGTAGCAGCCCCTGCCTGACTCAGCCACCAGCTGGTGCCAGGGCCTGCTGGCTGCTGGGCTCCTTAGTGCTCCCAGGCAGGCACAACAGGACCCCGTGGGACTTGAGGGGCCACTGGCAGCTGACTACGTCCAAAGTGGCCTTGCCTCCTGGTGCCAATCCCTTCAGAACCTCTGCCCCACACTCCCAAAGCCCAGAGCAAGGCAGCTCTGCTGCCCATCCCACTGCCCCAGGGGACTCTCCCTTCCCCCAGACACTGCCGCCAGGACCTCTCCTCCTGCCTGCAGGCCACCTCCATGTCTCCCTGCCCTGAGCTGACCCAGCCTGTCGCTGCCACTCAGCTGCCCCAGGAGCCTAGAAGCGCCCCACCCCCCACACCCTTGGGGCACCCTCTTCACTTGCCCAAGCACACCTGCACGTGGGCTGCCTGCGGCTCTGGGCCGTACCTGGGCTGGCAGAGCTCAAGTACCCCTCCCCAGCCCAGTGCTCCTGGCCCACAGCTGGGCCCTCTCAGGGGCAGCAGACAGCAGGGCCAGGCAGGCTTGGGGTGTAGGCTGAGCCCTCCACCCGCCAGGTTCTCCCAGGGGTCCCACTCTGCTGCCCATCCCACTCCCCCAGGGTACTCTCCCTTCCCCCAGACACTGCCGCCAACTCTGCCACCATGCTCCCAATCATCTGCACAGACTAGTCCTGTCACCTCCTCTGTCCCAGGTATCCCCATCAGCCAGAAAGGGACAGGAGGCCTGGGCATGGCTGAAGAAGCTCATGAGAATAGAGGG